CGAACTCCGTCAAAGAGAAACTGGCTGTTATCCCTCTTTGTATGAGAGATGGGACCAGTGGTGCAGTCTCTCCACGCCTGCCTTTAAATATGGACATTCTGAACAGCTACAAGTTCTTCTCATGGGATGATGCTTAACACCAGTTACTCTGCAGCTTCCTGCTTCGGACTGTAACTGGCTGCAGGGGAGTGTGTGGCGGCCTGTGTTTGGCTCCCATCAGGCGCGCTGTCCTTGCCGTGTGGTCGTTGTTACTTGGCGTTCTGCCCAAACTGCCTCTGACATGTCGTGAAACGCTGTGCAGCTCTGAGCCGCCTGACGTTTTACCGCCACAGTAAAGGATTGACTGCAGCAACAAACAGTGCGCTGCAAATCATCCAGACAGCCACTAAACAAGAACACCAACCCTCTGCCTCTGTGTGTGTGTGTTGGACATGGAGAGTGTATTATGCCTTCTGACAGGGGTAATAAGATTGTAGAGCTGCTGCTGCTGAGGAAACTTTTCATGTGAGAGCAGAAATTCTCTAAGTGGCCTTTAACTTTCAAAGTTAAATCTAAATGGCCCCTGTAATATTGTACATTAGGGCGGAGGGAGGACTTTTACTCAGTGACAAAATGTCGCCTACATGTGGCACTGAACATGAAGCTTCCTTCTTTGAGTATATAGATAAAAAATCCGTGTTCAAACTGTAACCACGTTAAAAAGCTTTAGTTTCTACGTAACATCTGTGTTTCACAGGATGGCCTTAGTTCATGCCAAAAAGTGTGTAGTGCAGGCTGAAGCGATTCATTATGAAACAGCAGTTTGCTGAGCTTGACAAAACGGTCGTTCACCATATCACACTGTCCTCATTAGCAGATTCTGTCTGTCTGTATCACAGTCCCATGGCGACTCAGATACAGCTGAAAAGCCCCACAACAAGTGTGGAGTTCAGGTTTTGTCAGCTGCTGTTTCCAAGGAATGATCTGACATGATCAGATGGTTGAATCCTCTGTCCAATCAGAGCAGAGCATGCAGTCAGGTGATGCCAGTACTCACAGTCCAGGTGACTCTGTCTGATCCCCTCCACGTCTTCGGCATGAATGAACTGGTAGCACCTCTTCCCCACGATGTCCACAGGGGTCAGGTCCATGTAGTCACTGATCCTGTTAACGCAGAAGCACCACAGCTACATTAAAGAAACACGCTGAAAAGGACACAGGTGAATAAAATATCACAAACGGCACAAGTGGGTATTAGAATTAGGACACAAACCAATAATAATAATGACATGATGGCTGACTTGATCTTAAAGTCAGTGCTGATTGTTGGCATCACTCCCTGCCAAACGCCAACAACGACAGTAATATTTCATAGGAGTGGGTCTAACCACGCCCCCATCGCTTTCTGTCAGCACTCAGTATCATTAGGTCACTTTGCTGTTCTGTGTACAGGTCACATTAGCTGTCAGTTCATTTACACTTTGACAGACAAAAAAAGCGAGACAGTCGACTGAACGCTGAGACGGGACCTAAAATTCGGTTCATTTTCTGTCCAATCACAACGGCACAATATTCATGGTTGAATTTTCTGTCCAATCACAACGGCACAATGAGCAACCCAATGTCAGACAGAAGATAACAGACCAGAGACCAGCTTCAAAAGAGCAGAGGACCCTGCCAGTCCAGTGCTGTCCTGTCATACTCATGGACAGAACAGGAGGCACTGGGCCCCTGGACACAGACATGTCTCCTATACTCCTAGATTCACAGACTGAGCTTTGTGCCTGTTTCAACTCATTTTTCATCTCTTTTCTGTTATTTTGTCTCTTTCAGTAGCATTTTCTCATTTTTGGGCTTTTGGTAGTCAGTCTGTCGTCACCTGACTGACTTTCCAACATGGTTCTCCAGTCTAGGGGCCCCCTGACCCCCTAGTGGCCCCGGGCCTGTGCCCGATAGGCTCGCTCAGCAGTCCATCCATGGTCCTACTCAGTACTCCTGCATTTACAGCACATTCAGGTGAACATGAAGGTTTCCAAAGTGTAGCATCTGGTCGCAGGCCAACGCGGCTACATCAGGGTCAGGCTGCTTTTAGAAATGCTCTGTAATCTGAGAATCCACTGGAACTCTCATTCTCCAGTCCGCACTGTGTCAGGAGCTTCAACCTAAGGCCACATTTAAAATACAATATTAAAAAATGGATTTTTCTGTCTAACGTAGGACAAGTGGCCTCTGACGGACTCTGCAGACCGATTCCTGTGTGTCGTGTGTCTGCGTCCGTCTTGGTGCCACACCGAACTGCACGGAAATGGAAATGTGAAACTCTGAGCCATGTAAGTGGGACAGTTTTCTCGCTACTGTCCTGGTACTTGTCCATTCACAAACCGATTCAGGGACAAAAAACCTAATAAGCCAACAACAGAGAGTGAAGCCTGTCTGTCTGTTGTACAGGTAACACACATCAGCTTTAAAAGGTTTAATCGGAACAAATTTGCCACAGGAGAGACAGAACAATTTTCCCTCTATCATTCTGATAGAGGACGGACGGGGGAGACTAATGTCTGGCAGGCAGATAACAGCACACTTTGTTCTTTAGAAAACCCACCACCCCATTTTCTCATTCTCTTAGAAACTCATTCTCAAAATGGGGCAGTAATGGGAGCGACGTTTGTCCGTTCGCCGCTGAGGCGCTTTCTGTCGCTGCACACCGAATATCATCATCTGCCTTGCAGTGTCTCTCTTTCCTCCCACACAAAAAGCAATCTGTCTACTATCATTTTTTCCTCCCCTCTTTTTTATAATAAAACATGAAGGTTTTTTTTTTTGCCTGATATGAATCTCACTGGTCAGCCGGTTAACTCCTGAGCCAGATCCTGATGCCTATCTGCTTTATCTGGACACAGGAAGGAGATAGATCCATCAGCGACACATTTCACTGTTAAACCAGGGAGGATTGGGTCAGACTTCCTCATGAATAAGAAGCTCCAACAAGGTAGAAAACGATTTTTCTGTGAGCAGCAGGTACAAAACATGAATGCAGAAACAGAGTGAAAAAGGGGGCTTTGTGTTTGACACCGGCGCTTTAAACAGCCGGACATTTACAAGCTGTTTCTCTAAAAAGTCGATTAAAAAAAATGACAACAACCCAGCAAGAAGAGTTCGATCTAAAAAGTTCATGTTCAGATAAAAAAAAATTCTGTTGCTGACAATTAATCAGCAACCTTGATTATATACAGTACTTTTTAATTAATGCATCGCATAAACCACAGAAGAGCTTTTTCTGAGAATTATGATCGTGATATATTTGACGTGGGATATTTTACAGTTGAACATTAAACTCGTCAGTGCTCTGTGAAGGACAAACTGTGATAACATTATTATTTACGAGCTCGTATTTTGGCATTACTCTGATGCCATTTCTTGTTAGTTACTGAGGAACAAATACAGAGGTCCCCATATGACTGAGATAAAATGACAAGCTGTCAAACACAGAGCACATTTTCAGACTATTTACTATGAAATGATTATCATAGTTTGGGGCCATTTTTGTCCATCCTGGCCTTCCATACATTTTGAATCTTGCGTAGGGCGAGTATTTAGAGTTTCCTTTTAAAATCGATCACAACGAATGCAAAAAGTTCTTCAACTGAAAAACTTCAGGTGACTGTGATGTCACAATCCTGTAACCTGCATTTCTATGGCAAACCAGAGGAGACATCAGTTAATAGACGTTTAGGTTTTTTTAACACATTCAGCTCATTTCAAGAGAAAAAACCTGTTATTTTTATTAATGACGGCAGCAAATGACCATGTAGAGATCTTTACTAAGTCTACAAAGTTTGGATGTATTTCAGACAAACGACGAGGACAATTATTCATCTTTCTTGGTGAAAAGGTCAAGATCACGTAAAGACTTGGAAACCTTAAATGTAAAACACGTCAAAACAGATTTTATGCGAATGTAAAATTTCAATTACCTTTATTTTTTACCTTTAGCGTAAGAATGTTAGCATGTCAAGCAAAAGTGTAACAGTAGGTGAAATATAAAAAATAAATAAATATCTCTGAAGCAAACAAGTGGGAAAAACAAAAAATATACAAGACTAAATTCAGTGTAAAAGCACTTTTGACTCATCATTTGGTTTTAACTTCTGACTTCCTGTTCCCCTTCGACCTTCCTTGGGATTTCACTTTGCATTTCTGTGAACACATTAAATCTACCTGTTCTCGCAGTAGACGATCTTGAGGTCCATGTTGACTCGGGTGACGAACATCTGACAGTCGATGCGAACCTCGTTGATTGTGGGCGGTGGGAGGGCGTGAGCCACCACCACCATCCCCATGATCTGATTGGGCACCGATCGGCTGTGTGTCAGGGCCATCCTGATCCGCAGACGCCCCGTGATGTGGATCACCTGGACAGGAAAACAGACAGGCCGAGGGAGGTCAAAGGGCATGGTAGTAACTTCAAAGATACCTCGGGTCAAGAGCTGCACCAGTCCACCAGTTTTAGCCAAAACCAGTCCTACGGAGCACATCTACGAACTGTAACCAATGTTTTATACTCCCGTGTTCTTGTATCCTTCTAAATCAGAACATTGACACTTTTAACATTTGTCTTCTATCTAAGTGGAGTCTAACTTCTTTGGTCCTTTTTCTTCTCCATACACATTCTTTTCCACTGGTACTTGTTTTGGGTTTAACCTGGGAAAACAAAACTCAGATGACGTGTGTGTGAACGCGGGTTGTATCTGATCAAGCATCCAGCACCACTCGACAGAGATGGCAGAACGAAATACAGCTTTGTTCTGTCAGAAAATGTATTATTACCATTGTTTTTCTTGAGGAAATAATCATTTTGATTTTGAATCTATGGTTAGAGTATCAAAACAATGTTGACTCGACGGATTGCTCTGACCCACTCTGACCCCACACAGACCAGTTCCTGGGGTGACGAACCAGTTAGCCTCCATAGTTATCCTCCTTAAAACCATCTGCAGGTTTCATAAATGAAGGTACAAACTGTCAGATCAGGTTCAGTCTGTAAAGGCAGAAACAAGAAGAGCAGACGGGGGATTTTCTCTCTCCTGGTTTCTTGTTCTTTTCTTGAACTTCCTCGCTGGATCGAGCGAATGGGGAAATCCATCGGACAGGTGGAAAAGAGGCGCTGACAGAGGGACAGTGAAGGGTGTAATTATCTGGAGCTTTAAACTTGTGTGAAGCTTCAACAGATCAGTGAGAAATGTTAATCAGCTGCTGCTTGCTGGGGAAATGTTCACTCGTCTTTGGCAACCCCGCGTCACTTATGTGTGTCGCTCTTCACAGGTCACACATACAGTATGAC